TGACTCCCAGCCAGGGTAAAACCATCACACCTGGCCCAGCTGGTGGACGAGCAGGGGTCCAGGGGAGCAGAGTGCTGCAATGGCAGCAGAGCGAGCAGAGGGAAGGTGAGTTGGATGACGGTGGTGGTTGCAGCCCTCCAAGCTCCAACCTCAATTTCTGTGGCCAAATCCCAGGGCCGTACTCCACCCAGCCCTTCGTGCCCACAGGATTTCCAGCCTCACTTGTCCCACCTCTGCCTGGCCGTGGTGCTGCCCCGCGGGAGGCACACAGGAGGGAACATCCTGGTGGGCTCCAAAAATGCTCTTGCTTAGGCGAGCTGAGCCCAGCATCACCCCTGGCTGTTTGCCAGCCACAGACCCCAGGACGGCATCAGAAGGGACCACATGCCCAATAACCCCAGGTTCTCCCCAGACAGCTACACAAAGCTCTTGGGTGAGTTTCTCTTTATTTGGCAAAAAGGAGGAACTGTGCACTGCAGGAGCAGGGGATGTGTCAGGGCCTTGACCACTGAGCTCGGAAGAGGGATGATGGAGCAGCAGCCTGAAGCTTCAGAGCGTGGGTCTTGCATCACTCAGCAGGAGCATCCACCAGCCAGCCCACACCTCCTAGAAAACAGCCAGGAGAGGTGGGCTGAGTATTTCAGATGAGGAGTTCAGTGGAGAGGGCCCAACAGAGCTCTCCATCAGGATCACTGTGTTCTCTTCCAGTCCTCCCCAGCTCGTTAGGGTAAACCATCTGCAGCGGTGGATTTCTAGCTAACCCCTACAACTGAATGTGTACCGTGGGAAATCACACTCCAGGGTGGGCCAACAACAGCCACGTTTTGCGTGGAGCACCAACCCAACCTCTGGCCGGTTTTCATAGAATTATAGAATGGTTTGGGCTGGAAGGGACCTTACAGATCATCCAGTGCCACCCCCTGCCATGGGCAGGGACACCTCCCACTAGCCCAGGTTGCCCAAAGCCTCATCCAGCCTGGCCTTGAACCCCTCCAGGGATGGGGCATCCACAGCTTCTCTGGGCAACCTGGGCCACTGCCTCACCACCCTCACAGTAAAGAATTCTTTCTAATATCTAGTCTAAATCTGCCCTCTACCAATTTAAATCCATTACCCCTGTACTGTCATTACATGCCCTTGTAAAAAGCCCCTCCCCATCTCTCCTGGAGCCCCCTTTCAGCACTGGAAGCTGCTGGAAGGTCTCCCCGGAGCCTTCTCTTCTCCAGGCTGAACAACCCCAACTCTCTCAGCCTGTCCACGACCCCAGGGCCCCCTTGGCAGGAGCTGCTATCCTGGCCCCCACTGCTGGATGAGCTGTTCCTCCACTGAACCAGTGGTTTTGGTTCAAGTGCCCTTGCTCGCCCTGAGGGTCCCCGCTGCAGAGCAGCACCGAAAGGAATGGTCCTACTGGGGTGTGAGCTCCAGCACAGGTTCAGACAACTCGGCCCCCAGGGTATTTCAAGGAGTTCGTGGTGGCCCTTGCTGGGGCACCAAGGGGCAAAATTTCCAGATGAGGACATTGCAAACATGGTGTTGCACTCCAGCAACTCACCTACGCTTCATCAAGGCTGCATTCCTCTGCAAAAATAAAGAGAAAGGCTGAGTCCGGGGCAGTGGTCTGGTTAGTCCCATTTAGCACCCAAAACCGACCACCCAGGAATGAACCTGAGCAAGGCAAAAGCCACAACGTGCCAAGCCAGAACACTTTCTCCTGCAGCTCAGACCACAAAGTGGTTGCAGCGATGGGCTGAGCTGGTCCCTGCTGGCACGTCCTGGCTCCCTGTATTAACCAAGCCAGCCTGATGCAGCGCTGGGCAGTGCTCACCCTGGCTGGGCAGTATCACGATCATCTCATCGGTGAAGCTCTTCTCCTTCGCAATCTTCTTGAACAGATCTGTGATTTTGGGGCTCACCTCCCGCGTTCTGCCTAAAGGCAAAGACAGGACTTAGCTCCAGGTCCTGTCCTGTCCCTGCACCTCCCGGACTGCTGGCGAGCGCGCTCGGGCGAGGATGGGATGGATGACAGTCCCTGGGAGAAGGCTGGAGGCAGTGGTGGAGGTCCTGGAGGGCGGTGGTGGCCAGGCACAGGAGACACCCCTCCCAGGGGACAAGATGAAGCAGAGGTTCTGGCACCTCTCTTGGTTCCCATCCCCACCGATTCTGCCCCCCTCGCAGCAGGACCCCCGCTCTTGGCCCCATGTCACCAAGCAGCCGACCCGAGGCCATGGGCTCCCAGCACAGCATGGCAGTCTGAGCCCTGCCTCCCCTGCCAGCCCCCATTGCTGCCCCTTCCCCGGCTGGCCAGGGGACACACAGCAGTCCCAGCGCCACTCCCACACCACCCAGGGCAGGTGGGCAGGGCGAGGGGGGTGTCTCCCATGGGCCTCCCAACTCCTGCCTCTCGGGACACTGCAAAGCACCCAGCACCGGTCACATCACCCCTGGCCACGCACTGTAGAGCCTCAGCATGTGCAAGGTCTTCCCATCCTTCACTCTGGAGGCAAAGATAACGGCATATGTCTTGCCGTCGGTGTCCACCACCTGCGCCGTTCTGTTGCCTCTCTCTGCAAAAGGATGTGGAGCAAAGTAAAAAATTAATTCCCTCCTCCTGAGAACTCCCACACTGCAGAAGGGCTGTATGAGCGAGGGTCAGGATGATGGGGCCAGGCCCACCCAGCCAGCCTGTCTCCTGTGTCTCCCCCTCCTGGTTTTTCCTCTTGCTGAGGCTCTCTGGAAGCCTGGGGGAGCCCACAGACCACAGCAGAGCAGTGAGGCTGGACAGGGACAACGGGAGGGGCGTGGGGCTGGGGATGGTCACTGCAGACAGCCGAGCAGCCCAGCCGGTGTCTGACCAATGCTTGGGCTGGGGACGGTGGGAAACCACTCCTGTGTCATCCCTTGGGAACACCTGTCCACAGCCCCTTTGCAGAACGAACCTGATCTCCCCAGGGTTTAAGTGTGGTCTGAACGGGTCTTATCCCAGAGCAGCTTCCCAGAGGGAGGGAGCAGGGGGTCTGCTGCGCTGGTGGGACACCAGCCCTGTCACAGACCACCCTGGGGTGCAGCTGGCAGCAGAGGGCTGTCCCACCCAGGACCTGAGGAGAGGCAGGTGGGCACCGCAGGGGCCAGGTACCCTGGGACAGCCGGCTGTGCCAGGCGGGGATGATGGGGAGTGCCTCTGCCCCGTCCCGGGGGCCAGGCTCCCCCCACTCACCAGGGCTGTAGTATTCACCCGGGATGCCTGTTTGCTTGTAGACCCGCTCCATTCTCTTACATCCTGCCAGGCTGCAAAAGAGTGAAGGACGCTTTGGCCAGGGGGAAGTGACCCCCCCTTCCTCTCCCCCGAGGATGCTGGCTCTGGGGTTGCTGCCCTGACTGTGGACTTGCTGTGCAGAGGTGGGATGGTGTAGCCAGGGTGGGGGGAGCAATGGGCGCCTGGGCTGGCAGGGCACAGCGCTGGCACCCGAGGATCATCCCATGGGGTCACACAGCTGTTCCCTTGCTCGTGCTCTGAGCTTCTGGGACGAGGTTGGTCCTGCAGGGAAAGCTTTAATCGCAGGGTCCCTTCTATCCCTGCTGTGTCCCTGTTGGGAGCAGGGACCCTGAAGGACGGGACCCCACAATGCAGCTCTCCTGAGCCCCTGTTTTAACCCATGGGGCTGCTGGCGGTGCCTCACCCCCTGCCCAGGTCTTTGGGGGGTGCTGAGTGGAGGCACCCAGGTGGAGTCCCCCCAGTGAAGGTCCCATGAGGAGGTCAGTCAGTGAAGCCCGTGGAGAAAAGCACTTGGCACTTACGTGGGGATTGCAAAGGAGACCTTCAGGTCGCCCTCCCCTTGGACCGTGAGTGCGGCCATGGCCATCTTCAGCTTGTCCTTCTGGCTGAGGTAGCCCTCGGAGTCGGTGGCCAGAGCGACGATGTGCCATCTCCCTGTGATCTGGCAGCGAGGGCAGGCTGTGAGTCCACAGGGGCTGTGTCCCCCCTTGGGGACCGAGCCAGGACACCCTCAGACCACAGGACACTTGTGTCCCCTGTGGCCACCAAAATCTCTGCTGGGGCACTTACGCTGGCGCTGGGTGACTGCCCTCACCTGGGTGCGACAGTGGGGCCAGCGGCGCCGTGGTGTCCCCAGCTGTCCCCAGGACAGCAGAGCCAGTGGTGGCTGTGGTGTCCCCAGCTG